TCACATCTGCTTTCAGGTGACGGGCCGCACTTGGATTTGAATGACATGATGGGGAGTCATACACCAAAAAGACTTATTGAGGTCAAACCAGAGATTAAATATGATTTATTCCACTCAGAGATAAGTTTAAAATTATATATTTAAGTAATGTTATATATTTTAATAAATATTAATAAGTATCCTTCAGTCATACATTTGATAATTTTTGTTATGATTGAAATTACAGTGTGACAACTTTTGACAGTCTCTGAGTGCCATTGCCTGGGGAGGGAGGGAGGGAGGGAGAGAGAGAGAGAGAGAGAGAGAGAGAGAGAGAGAGAGGGAGAGGGAGAAGGAGAGAGAGAGACTTGGTCTTTCATTCAGTACTTCTTTCCTTTGCATTAGAAACTATTACTTTAGGCAGCAGTTCCTGTAGGACAGAATACCCCCAAAGGGTTAGAAGAGGGAGCTTTGAGGGCTGTGTACCTGTCCTAGTCTTGTTAATCTTGTACTTTGGTTCAGCTACCGGAAAATCAAATAGCTTTGATTCAACTGACCAGAAGCAATGCCCAAAGGCATTTTTGAACCATGAATTGGGATTATTTTATAAGGACTCTAGTGCAGGGGTGTCCAACCTTGGCAACTTTGAGACTTGTGGACTTCAACCATGGCAGGTTGGAGAATTCTGGGGGATGAAATCCATAAATCGTAAAGTTGCCAAGGTTGGATACCCCTGCTTTAGTTTATAATCGTACTTAGTTCAGTGGGATTTATTACCTAAAATATAGAGCATTTGCTTACATTCTTATTGTAGTTTCAAATAATACAACACTCCCAGCAGCAACACTGACATTTATAAATTGGCCCAAATTGCCTTGTTGCTATTTTTGCCATTAGACAAAGGAATGACTAAAATTTAGCCATTGCTCCACCCTGGCATGGCTTAATGGGCTAGGCTGGAAAAATTAATGCCTATCATAAGAACTGAACCTTAGAGAGTTTTCATCTAGCATTTGCCCATAGATTTGGATAATAGCAAAGTATAGTCTCGGGATTTCAGTGCAAGCTTCACTTATTAACACTTACTTTTCATAGGTCACATGTATTATTAAAAAAACAAATGGCACAGACAATAATCCCAGCTGACAATGACTTGACAATACATACTGTATCTAGATTCATCACTGGAATTTATGGTAATTCTGTTTTTTTTAAATGTACAAAATGAAAGCCAAACTGCCCCAGCTGAGGTTCCAACATGCCATCTAGGAGATTGTAAGATTTGAAATCCAACAAATTTGTGTGGTATTTAGTTGATAAAAGTGATAAACCAGTTAGTTGATTTTTGATTAAACATGTGCCATCAAGTCAGATTTGAGTCTTAACAACTACTCAAGTTGAGTTTGTCCAGGAAATATAATTACAGTAGTTGGAAAAAGCACCAAGATAATGCTACATGCTTGATTCTGAAATCATATCAGTATTTAATTCAATTATAATTTTAATCCAATTATATTTAATAACCTATACTAAACCTTAATAAATTTTATTTTTTTCTTTGATTTCCCCCTACCCCTCTATAAATGATTGCAGAAAAGAATTCCTGATATAGAATGATCACTCAGGCTAGGTTTGGTTTTTTTTTAATGTATTTATCTTATCTCAACCCTTTCAGAGTTATCCAATGAACCTACCACTCACTGCTGCAATTAGGCCTTTCTGTTTATCTGATTTTAAATACCTCAAAATAAACAAGCAGTTCTTATTTTTTCCACGGAATGAATTCAGCCTTAAGTTTTTCCAGTTCTACCTTTTCCCTTTACCTATCAGTGCTTTTTAACAGTTTTTGATGTGGAAAAATGCATGTTTTTAAGCAGTCTCACGGGTTTTGCAAAGCAATACTGTACTGCTAAGTCATAGATAAGATTTATTTTCTTTCTTTTTTTCATTTGCAAAGAGAGAATAATCATTTCAGTACCACACATGATCATACTAAAATAAGTGGCTTTGCTCCAGATATTATATCCAGCCTGCCTGGATATAATTTAAGTCTCTCCCCATTTTATTGCAGGACTCAGATACAATCTGATTTCATTATTAACAGCAAAATCCTCACACGTGAGACTGCCATTTCTTTTTAAAGAAACCTGCAAATATGTTTGCTTATGCCGGTTCCTAAGCAAGGAGTTCCTCCTGTCAACTTGGCGATGAAATAGGGCTCTTACCCTGTGACAATTTCAAAGGGTGGCAATTCCTCCAGTTCCTTTGGCTTTTCCCCCTCTGCGGATTCCTCTGCATTTTCTGCATTTTCAGCCTTTTCACCATTCTGGGCTACTGGAGGTTGTTCCTGCTTCTCAGCCATCCTGTTCTACTGTAGTGGGTGCCCAAAGACCACAGCAGTGGTCAAGAACTGGGCACAAGCTTCAGAAGCAGAAATGGAGCAGGGAGGGAGACAGAGAGCAGTTCTGGCAGTTCTCAGGAGCTATATATGGAATGGGAGCAGTGGCAGAGATGGGAATAGGCTAGGATGACTCCCAGCACTCTCAGATATCACCTCCTTCACTTTTAACTCTGGCCTGAGACATTCTTTTGCTCCCCGTTTATTTTAAATATGAAGTGATGAGTGGAGCGTGGGTGGATTAGGTAATGGAGGGATGCAAAAGTAACCTATTTATCCATAGCCATGACAGAAATCTGACACGGTGCAGAAGAGCTGGCCGCTCTCCTATGCTCTTGGACTTACTGAGATGCCTTCTCCCTGCCCTTGAGGGACTACCTTCCAGAGGTGCCAAAAAGAGGCAGGTAGCTTTGTTAAAAAGAATGCTCCTGATATTATTAGGTGGAACTGAAATAAAATGTCAGAGGGTTGGGTTTTTTGTTTTTTGTTCAAACCTGAATTTTGTTCCTGACCTGAAAGTGACAGCTTTAAAATGCCTTACTTTCTATGCAGATGTATTGAAAAGCACAGACTGAAAATATTTCAGGTGAAAGTATTGCACTATTATCTGAACCTAATTGATTTCAGTTTTCCTCACCTCCTTAGGCAGCTGACAGAAATCCTGTTGGACCCAGTTTGACTTTCATTGAAGATTTAAGAATGCTATTATAAAAGCCTTCTAATGCTCAGCTGGCTTTTTTCTTTGTGGCTTAGTCAATCTGGCAGTGTGAATATTGTGCTCAGCTGGAATTCCAAGTTAAGGGACCAGCACCAACTGCTATTATCTTGAGGCAAGATATTAAAATAAGAAAAAGAATGTGCAAATGAATGTGCAAATGTGAAAAATCTAACTAGATGAGGTATGAAATTGATTCCGTTTGAGATATGGGATGGGATGTGCCATGGACTCTGCAGATGGTTTGTAAGAAGTAAAAACTTAGTTCCTTCTTTAAATTGTAGTTGGTGCTGGAGCAAGGAAATGAAAGTGCACTTGCTTATTCATTATTCATATTCATATTCACTCAGCCACATTATTTTGCAGATAATTGTATTACTGAGGCATGCAATGTAGAAGCTAAAGTATGGCAGATAATTTTGCACTTTGAACTTTTACAACATTTTTTAAAAATATTAAATAATATATAATATTACTGTATCAAAACTGCTTAGATGGTTGACATACTGTTATACATTGATACATCCCATGATTCTCAATTATTTCTGATAAATACTTATAGAAAGGCATCTATAGAAATGCAATCTGAAAAAAATAAGCACACAACAAAGCACTCAACAAGCATATTTGTAAAATGTATACATTTGCAAATATATATTAGCCACATTGACAATTAGAATCTGTAATTTATAAAAATAATATGTGATGTGAATTTAAAAATAGTGACCTTTTTTGCACTTCGGCTTATGAAATATGAGGCACTTTTTTTGCTAGTTCTTTTACCCTCTGCAGCTCTTTCAGAATTGAATATTTGAAAACAATATCCAGAATGGTTGTGAATATAGCACAAATGGCTACGTTAGAGAGAACAGTGAAATACCCTGTCTTGTAAATAGATTAGATAGATAGATTTATTTATTTATAGGCCGCCCTTTTCCCTGAGGGGACTCAGGGCGGCTTACAATCAAAAAAGGAAGGGGAGTGTAGGACAATACCAAAAAGAAATGTGCACAAAGTAAATTAGACAGTAAAACTCAACATTCACTCAGCATTCGGGAGGGGCGAAAATAAGATTATCCCCAGGCCTGACGGGCTAGCCAGTTCTTGAGGGCTGTGCGGAAGGCCTGGACGGTGGTGAGGGTACGAATCTCCACAGGGAGATTGTTCCATAGCGTCGGAGCCGCAACAGAGAAGGCTCTCCTCCGAGTAGTCGCCAGTCGGCACTGACTGGCGGATGGAATACGGAGGAGGCCAACTCTATGCGATCTGATGGGACGCAGGGAGGTAATTGGCAGAAGGCGGTCTCTCAAATAGCCAGATCCACTACCATGGAGCGCTTTATAGGTGGTGAGTAAGACCTTGAAGTGCACCCGGAGATCAACAGGTAGCCAGTGCAGCTCACGGAGGATCGGTGTTATGTGGGCGAACCGTGGTGCGCCCACGATCACTCGCGCGGCCGCATTCTGGACTAGCTGAAGTCTTCGGATGCTCTTCAAGGGCAGCCCCATGTAGAGCACATTACAGTATTCCAGCCTAGAGATCACAAGGGCTCGAGTGACTGTTGTGAGGGCCTCCCGATTCAGGTAGGGCCGCAACTGGCGCACCAGGCGAACCTGGGAAAATGCCCCCCTGGTCACAGCTGAGAGATGGTGGTCAAAAGTTAGCTGTGAATCCAGGAGGACTCCCAAGTTGCGGGCCCTTTCTGAGGGGTATAAATTTTGTCCCCCCAGCCTGAGTGATGGTATGTTGGTCAAATTTTTGGGAGGGAAACACAACAGCCACTCGGTCTTGTCTGGGTTGAGTATCAGCTTGTTTGCTCTCATCCAGTCTTTAACGGCTTCCAGTCCCCGGTTCATCACGTCCACCGCTTCATTGAGTTGGCACGGGGCGGACAGATACAACTGTGTATCGTCCGCATATTGGTGGTATTTTATCCCGTGCCTTCGGATGATCTCGCCCAGCGGTTTCATGTAAATGTTAAATAGTAGGGGGGATAGGACCGACCCCTGCGGCACCCCATAGGTTAGGGGCCTCAGGGACGATCTCTGCCCCCCACTAACACCGACAAAAGTAGACTTTTAAAAACAAAACTAATTCTCAAAATAACACGCTACGCCTTTGTAAGTGCATTTCAGCCTACCTAACTCAACTTTTTCTTATCTAAATGAAATGTTTTTTTTTATTCCATTGTTTAATGCAGTACTTACAAAATGATTGCCAATATTCAACCTTCAGAATTATTTAGCACTAATGAACAGGGAGTAACAGGACTTGATTATTGGGATGGGTACAACAGCCATGGTGCATTTGATAAACTACATTACTGGTGTGGGTTTTGTTATAAAAATTAGCTAAATAAGAACAACTGCTAGATATATACCAGTAGATAGCAACCATATATCTATATTGGCATGTAACCCATTCAAGGTCCATATTGGACCATAACTCCAAACCAGGTAGCTGGGATCATGATAGTGGTTGCACCGTATATTTAAAGGGCACCCTTTGATTTTATCTTATTAGGGAACTGTTTTTTGTTTATTATTTTAAAATAGTATGAAATACTTTTGGCGCAAAGTTTTATTGTTTTTCCTCCCTCGGTGTTAACATGTTTAAATCCCAGTATCCCAAACCTATGACTGTCACATTTGACATTTTACAGAGGAATTATAGGGATGGGAATCCTGAGCTGCTGAGTGATACTCTTCCCCTCCCCTTCTTGTGTCTCTCTGGCCCGCTTTATTTTTGGAAACTCTTGACTGCTGGATTAACCAGGGTCCCATCATTCTTACTGCTTTAACTTTCACTGCAGCCAGCCAAGCCTTGCAGTTCAATCTTCAGCTTTAATCTTATCTCTGGAATGTAGATCTGGGTTAGAAGTTTTCTCTCCTCAGCTGCTGCTGAACTCCTTCTAGGGCAGAACTCCGCATTTGTATGGACAGACCCCCCAAGGGCTCTGCGTAGACCAGCCACAGATGTTATGTAGCAATGCTTTGCTTTATAGATCAAATGGTTTATTTGATTCTATACATATACAAAGCTATGTTTATTTGCAGACATAAAAGGGTGCATATGTAAACATACCCCCACACCCAATCTATTAGAAATAGAAAGAAAGCCTTACAAAACAAAAGAATGTTGACTAAGAACCTAAATTACTTTACTGAAATAGAAACAGTCCATGTTACAGATTTATGTTTAGTCTCTTTTTGTCCCTAGTGGCAGGTGATTCATCTTATGCCTGATAAGGCATAAGATGGGCATTGCCCATTGTGAAGAAAGTATGTTTTCTTCACCAAACCAGAATGGGGAAAGTATAACAAGAAGAACAGTGGTGGGATTCAATTTTTTATTACCTGTTCTATAGGCGTGGCTTGGTGGGCATGGCAGGGCAGGTGTGGCTTGGTGGGTGTGGCAGAGGAAGGATACTATAAAATCCCCATGCCCACCCGAATCCAGGAGAAGGTTACTGCAAAATCACCATTCCCTCCCGGTCAGCTGCCACTCAGGAGGCAGAGAATAGATGGGGGTGGGGCCAGTCAAAGATGGTATTTACCATTTCTCCGAACTACTCAAAATTTCTGCTAACAGTTCTCCAGAACTGGTCAGAACCTGCTGAATACCATCTCTGAAGAAGAACTCTGGATTTTTCTAGTCCAGTTATAATTAAGAAAGTCTCCTGATTGAAGATGTGGGAAAGTGTCACATGTCATTTTTAGCCACAGTTTGATCCAATGTGAGGCAAAGAGCCAAGGTGGCGCAGTGGTTAAATGCAGCACTGCAGGCTACTGCTAGATCAGCAGTTCAGCGGTTCAAATCTCACCGGCTCAGGGTTGACTCAGCCTTCCATCCTTCCGAGGTGGGTAAAATGAGGATCCAGATTGTTGGGGGCAATATGCTGACTCTCTGTAAACCGCTTAGAGAGGGCTGAAAGCCCTATGAAGCGGTATATAAGTCTACTGCTATTGCTATAATAACTGCCTATGAAAACCTTAGGGAAATAGGTGTTCTCAGTAGGTTCTACAAGACATTTGTTAAAGTAGTGTGATCCTTATGCAAAACTATCTTCTGTAAACTGGCATTCTCCAGATGTGATGGACTTCAATTCCCATAATCTCTTACAAGTCATTGGCGATGCTAGATAGGGGTTATGAGAGCTGAAGTCTAGATGTCTAGAGCTAGAGGCCATAGAAACAGTTGATAAAAGTTTTTTTTTCTAACACATACATATGGGACAGTATACTTAGATGTTCCATTTTCTGAATATGCAATAACATCCTCATTGGATGACTTATCAGCTTTGTATAATAATTGGGAAATCTATTTTATGTTAAGGTTGCTCTGTTATATAAGTAGAGTTTAAAAAGAATAGTTGCAA